GGTTCCATCTTCGTTAATGTCGCTCTGATATGGTAGAGCATTGAGACAAGCTTGCCCATTACATTGGCCACAAGCTAAAGAGCATTGCAAGCCCGCTTTCCTGCATCCGCATCGCGAACCACAACCACTCTTGCAGTTGCAGAAAATTGTATTCAGCAAATCTTCTGGAGCAGGTGGTAAAATTGTCATGAATATATAAGGTTCTCTTCAACATAAGCAAAAAATTACCTTGAACGTATCGAAGGTCATAACAGTTCCTAAATGATCGGTTCAAATTATCTTACCAGATCAATACCTGTTCAAACCTGTCCTTGACTCGTTCAGACCAGTTCTTGATCTGTTTAGACAATTTCTTGGTCTGTTTGAGACCTGTTCGAGAGACCCGATAAATGCTGATCGAGTATCTGTTTCCTAACAATTGAAAGTGAAGAAATAGAACTGGAAAAAACTCATCAATATACGAAATATAGTTGAAAATGAACATTTGAAAAATATAGACAATAAATTACATGATAAAATTTCTCCATCAGATGAACAACAACATCAAACTTCATCTGAACCATTCAAAAGGCGTTTTTCTATAAACGATTATGATTGATACACCTGGTATTTTGCGATATTTCAATTATAATTAATTGTGATTGCTAATTGATTTCAAACATCCATATGCATGTTTTTCAAAACGGATAGTCTCATTCGTAATTACTCCTAGGTTTTTAGCACAATTAACCACTCGAGTTTATCTTGTGACCAATTCAAATCTCTTTTCACCAAACTTTTATTATTTTTCGGACCGAACACTTGAATATTTGCTCACAGTTTGTCAAATGTAGAGAGAGTTTTCTGAATTCCGTTATGGTCCCACCCACTAGATGTATATTCGTTAGAAGACGATGATAGCGAGAGAGAGAGAGAGAGAGAGAGAGAGAGAGAGAGAGAGAGAGAAAGACATAATTCTCAAGTCCTTTCCTAAATTTGACAAGCTATCTAGTATCAATCTGTAGACCGTGGTTTGAAGATGAAACTACGAATGCATTGATATGTTCACTTGCATCAACAATGTCATTGGTATCAAATGAATGGTAAATTTGAGTATCGTCTGCATAAAGGTGTCTGGGACAATATTTCATATGTTCAATAATTCGACTTGTATAAAGCGAAAAGAGAACAGGCCCAAGGATAGATCCTTGGGGTACATCCGATTTCAATAACAGATTGTCGGAGTAGTTCAGATCAGTACAGACTGATACATTTTAAACACATTTACGACAAGCGAATGCATTTATCAATGACTCTAAAACATTTCTTTTTCCAGGTGACCTCCAAGACGCTATAATGGTGATCGCTAACGCCGTGTACTTCCGGGGATCGTGGAGGTATCAATTCCCTAGAGATCAAACGCAACTGGGCAAATTTTACGTCCCCGACGCCAACGGCTTCTTAACTATAAACACCCCGTTCATGTCGACGAATAACAAGTTTTACTTTCTTGAATCGCCGACTTTGGATGCAAAAATTATAAGGCTCCCGTACAAGGTAAGGAAACGAGGGATCTCGATCCGGATGGATTTTGTATCCAGAGAAATGCAGGAAAACTATTCTTGTAGAATTACAAGAGATCGTTGATGGTTGTTTTCGTCGCATTTGCCCTCAGGGTGTCTCATAAGTCGCGGTACAAATAAGGTGATAGGGGAGAAAATTTCTCATCTTTTTTTAATTATTTTGATTTTTTGGTATCAACCAACTTCGTTATAATGCTAAATTGCTTTTCCATAGTACTCATTTGATTAGCTGTTGCATGGGAGAGCATTTTGCCGTTGATGAGTCGCAGTTCGGTATGTTTTCAATCTACGTATTCTCTGACGACACAAAGTACTGGGCACTGGATTCTTCGACAGCCAAAATACCAACTTGTTTAGATTATAAATGATAGTGCGTTTAAAATAATCCACACACTATATACGGAGGGAAAACGAACGTCCTGTTACCACGCGGCTTCTACTACCTATTTTATACGGTTTCCAGGAGCTCAACCACTGATCGGTCGCCGACTAACTCAGAGAGTGGGCGTGAGTCATAATTGGAGAAAGAAAAAAAAATGAGCGCCACGTGATTTAAACCAATCAGTAGTTCATGTAAAATACTTAACTCACAAAATAAATCACGAAACAGTGAATTTGTATAAGCGAGAATACCATACAAACCAAATTCAGATAGGCGGTGTGCCGTTATCAAATTTCCAGTTATGGTTACAACAAAATTTATGAAATGAACAAAATAAAATGGTTCAGAGACAATTTATTTCGACCCAGCAAAAAGTTATTAGGAATGTCAATATTCACATAAATTATTGTTGTGAACTCATGGCGATATTTTTAATATCAAATTTTGTAACACTTAATTTTATACCTCCGTATAGATCTATATTTCGGCTAACATACTTTTCCAAATATATCGTAATTTTCAACAATCCACTTAATGGAACTTCATGACTTCAATNATTTGTCTCTCTTCTATAGATACCCTTGCGGAAGGTGTTCAAGCGACTTGGCACAATTGATTCCACCAAGAGCGGTACATATCAGAAATACGAGACGAACTGTGGTTGCTCATCGTTTTGAGGTTCAACTCAGTACACCTCGAACTCCACTGTTTAAGAACTCTTCCATCTGGAGAACTGCGTTTATGTGGAATAAACTTCCTGAGAATGTTTTTCCAAATGGATTCAATCTCCAGTGATTAAAATCCAATGTGAATCGCTACATTCGCACAGGCACCGCTCTGAGAGCGCCGTAAGGATTTCCTGTAGTGCTTGTGTTTTGTCCTTGAAAAACAGCAAACCAACGTCAAACAATGCGTTCATTAACACTACCAGTGCCAAATGCTTGGTTGATTTTTTAGGCTGTTTGGGCATCGATCTGGTTCAATGGTCGAAATCAAACAGAAAATGAGATGAAGAAGGAAAAAAAACATGTTGAATGAATGAAGTGGGACAAAACATAAAGGAAACACAAACATGAAATTTAATTTTTATTATTATAGTAGCAATTTATGATTACTATTTTCTGTTACAGAGATCACAGTTGGAAACAAATTTGGAGAACCACAGAGCTCTTTTCACGCTAACCACCCCTTCATGTTCTACATAGAAGAAGAGTTGACGGGAACGATATTATTCGTTGGAAAATGCGAAAATCCACTGGAAGAAGATCCTGCTTCTCTGGCTCCTCGACCTACGGAATGAAGAATGAAGAAGTTATAAGTTTCCGAAGAACATGTTCAGTAAATTTTGATTGCAACGTAAGAAATCGTAGTTCAGTTGTGGTAAAAAAAGTTTGATATCGATGTACATTCGACTGTTTCGCTTTGGCCAAAGACAGGTTTTCAATAAAATATTTTCATGATAAAAATGTGATTTTGTTTCTGGAATCGCAGATTTTCAGTTTGTCTAGAATTCTATTTCTCTATCATTCTCACATTCATTTGCAAAATTTCTAGAGAATGATATGAAAAGTGACTTAGTGAATAGAAGTTGTTAACTATTAGGTGGGCTGAAAATTTGTTTGTAGACTAACACACAGATGGCGCCATAAGAAAAACATCTATATCATTTTCAGTTAACCCTAACCTCCAAAAGATATGTGTATGAATTTCAGAGCTATGTTTTCCACCACTTTTATATGTAACTGACGTTACTGCAGTTCCGTCACATAAGGACATTTCCAAACTTATAGATTAAACTAACAATGATTTATTACATTAGCCTTCATAAAGCACCCCTGTAGGTAATAATAGAGGTACTTGGCTTGATTGAGTACCTGAATTTACAATTTACAATGCGGATGTGCTAATTTGAAAACCGGTGAGTAAACTAAATCGATTTGATCGTTTAACAGGTTGCACCCGCAATGTTTATGCTTGTGAATTTTCAACGCTATGGCGAAGCATTATAGGGGCGTGCTTTTCCATCAAAATGATGCATCGTGTCATGAATTGAAGAAAATGATGGCAAAAATTACATTAATTGGGCTTCGATTTGCTTCCGCATCCACCGTATCCTCCAGATATGCCCACAAGTGATTTTTTCCTGGTTTTCTGTTGGGAGATGCGAGGAAACTGGCAGAGCATGAGTTTGATCAAATCACTTCCGAGGAACGGCAAAAGCGTTGCTGACATGTAGTAGATATAGAGCGGAAATTTTGGGAAAATGAAACATTCACAGACGTTCAAACAGAGGTGATTACGGTAATTATAAATTTATTTGACGATAGGAGCCGGCAAGGAGCTTATCGTAATCCAATAGTAATTTAGTTGGGGGAGTCTATACCTGAGCGATCGCTTGCCATCAGCTGTGGCGTGTACTGTACCAGAGAGGTAAGCACTAACTTGCCAATCGTGAAAAAATTTATGAAGTTGAATCAAAATTGTATTTTATGTTTAGTTATATAGTAATCTATGATGCATAATGTTCAAAGGAAACAAAATTTATCAGAACTGATCAAGTTAGGTATCTGTTTCGCCATTTTCTACTTATTTGCTTATAATAAAGACATCTTCAAATATAAACGTTTTAACAAAAAAGTGGTTGAAGTGAAACTTGAAGATAGAAATATTTTTTAAATTAGGGTGATAAGCTGTTTAAGCGAATGGTATATTTTAAATCGACAATGGCCGATAAAGCGCCCGTTAGATATATGACCCATTGTACAATGATTTCAAAGAGAAGTTGGTTGTCTATAAATTTGAATCAGTTGATAAATAATCAGCCTTCATATTCGAAATACAGGGTGATTATCCTGCAAACATTAAAAAGCTCGTTGTGAGTTTTTGACCCGTAACAGTCCAAAACGCTAAATACCGTTCTTTCTCAAATGCCGTCCTATTTTAATTTTTCTGTTATGTTTACCTACATATTTTCAATTCAAAACGGTGTTAACTTGTATAACGAAACTCAGTGTTCTTCTGACACGTGGAATCGCACGTTATCCCTCCCGCTCCACTTGGTTACGTTAGGGACTGGGTGATATGTCTCGTTGATGAATATGCCTGCTCCTGGTTGTCTGCTTGAATCATTTATATCCACAGAAAATTCTAATCTCCCGCCACGATGATCTGAGATAAAGAAGCGTGCGTTTGAGGACGCTACTTGACAATTTGGTACACTCTGATTGGTTTACCTCCTAGCTAGCTGGGTGACAGGACACCACGTAACAATTTGAAGCACTCTAGTTGACTGGGTGGTCTATCTGCCTTGCATGGCGAGCTGAGATGCAACCTGACTGGTGAGATGACGTCTCTGTCTGCCTGAATTGGGACAACTCCTACTACTCCTTGATCGTCTACATATCTTTCAGTGACAAAGCCTTCACGAACTACATGTTCAGTGACATTCTGCAACCGAACATTTTGAACGTCATGATCACCATGCGGTAAGAGGATGAATCCAACACCCAATCTTCTACTGGCACCACCGCTCCTACACCCAAATGTTCAACTGTGTTATGCATTGTAGGATTGTCTGTTAGTGACAGATCATTTTTCACTCATGGAGTTTATGATATTGATGTCAGTAGACTGATTCGTCTTCACGTAATTCCACAATTATGGCGAATATTTCATTATCGTGCCTGGTATGTCCAGCCATTCGTGAGCTCCAAAGTTATCGAAGGCGATCAACCAATTCTCACAGTTTATTCTAGTAAACTCAATCTACATGCTTATTTTCTCTGCCGGTATTTTGCAGTGGGTTTCCATTGAATTATCATGGTAGAATTATTTCTCAATATTTTTCCAAATTATTTGATAGTAGTTCCCTTTGTTGATTCGAGTATATCAGCATAAACAGTCTTATCGGAAGAGGGGGTACTTTTCGGTGGTACTTGCATGAATAATAAGTTATATTGTTTTGAAATGCCCTGATACTCGTAAGTGGCAATAGTTTCACCGTTTTTCTTGAACACAAAATTCTCAAATTGATAAACTCCACATGAGCCACACTCGATTGTGAATTTTCTGTTTCAAAGACAGTATTGTATGAGGGATTATCTGATAGTAACTTTTTTATTTGCTTCAGCTCATCATCATTATCGACTAATATAGGAGAACGGAAAAACTGTTTTTTGCTATTTTGCGTAGAGATCTCGATTCTCCCAAATTGGAATTATATGCAAACGAACGGACCAGGCCGAAGTCAGGCCCTTGTGGTACACACTTCTCTATCCTAGTATTAGGCTGTCTATTTTCTTTTTTGGTATGAAGAATGGACCAAGCCCAAGTGAGGTCCTTGTGATACACAAATTTCTATTTTAGTTTTGGGCTGTTTCAAAAGTTTCGCCCCTTTCAGTTCCATTTGCTTTTGTAGCTTCATATCTCATTGAGTATTTATTCTACTATATCGTTGATGATACTGATCCATTGAGAATTCTGTATTCTATACATTGACGCTATTTATTGCTTCGAAATTTCAGTTTTGTGTCTCTCTTGAGCTTGAATATGACAGTAGTTTGATCTCAACACAAAACCGTTATTTTCAACACCTCGACACGTGTTTTAATCACCAAGTGATCATTTTCCTCTTGAAGATGATCACATGGTGATCGAAACACATGTCGAGGTGTTGAAAATAAGGGTTTGGTGTATCGGAAATTGACTCAGCAGTAGCTGTTACTGAGATATTACAGATAGAAGTAGTGTCAATAAAACGGACCAAACTGTTAAAACAACATTATATTTGCGAAAGAAGTTGCAAATATCTCATGGACAGGAAAATATCGATGTCTAAGCATGAGGAATGTTCCTCAATTTGGGTTATTACAGCAAATGCAAGTTTGAACAAAATAAAGTTGAGTTTAATTCATGAGTTTTTCAAATTCACTTCGAAAAGTATTCAAATTGATGGTTCAAATGTTGGATTTCAATTTTTGAAGGGATTTGTTTCTGATTTCCATATTGGCAACAGCGCTTATATCAAGTTGAAATAGTTCATGCGTACCTAGATATTCTACATTAAAAAAGAAAAATTATCTTTATAAATCAACAATTAAGACAAAATATAAATTACAGTTCAATACCACCTCCACGAACCACACAAACAACAGTTGTTTTGTTATTCATTTATATAGAAGAAGAAAGGAAAGGTCACAGAATGTCTCGGAACTCGGAACATAAGTTAACAGTACAGCACGCCTCTGAAATGTCATCTTTGTTTGTCTCATACAGGTGACAGATTTATTGTCCTTTATTAGCTATAACCGATGTTGCCAAGTGTTGAAATAGAAACGAATCCCTTTAAATGTTGAATGCATTATTTCATTCCTCTTTTTTAAGTATTTAAATAATTTTTTAAAGAAAGAGGATGAAATGATGAGTTTAAAATGCATTGTTTCAGAGCTATTTTATGAAAACTACTTGATTTTCGTCAGGAGGAACATTATAAATGATTTAAAGAAGACGTAGTTGATGCTTGATGAAAATCCATGACTTTTTTTTGACAAATTTTCAGTTTGA